CTTCTGAAAATGTTTCTTCATATTCATTTTGTTGTGTTTATATTTTACTGACGATAATCACATTTGTTAGACATCAAATGCCGTGCACATTCACGATCTCGCACTCAAGGTTCGAACCCTCTAGACCACTCAGCCGACATCCAACGTTGTTAATGTCTAACTTTAACCATTTCACGAAATTGCGCCGCTGGACTTTGAAAGGGACATAGCGGGTGATATTTTAACACGTCGACTCAAAAGATCTGTTGAAAGGATGTTTCACGACTCCAAGCTACACATAATTTTCTCAACTAAACCAGTACTCACATAACGAATCAAGGATAGGTTACCGATGATAGGCTTCACCATGTGTGTATACCAATTTAACTGCCCCTGTAGAGCTAGTTACATAGATCGTAACCATACTGCTTTATTCTCGTGTATTCATGAACATGTACCAGCATGGTTAGGAAAAGGAGTTACTAAATCGATCAACAGCACTACTCTTTATTACTTGGTAGGTAGTGAACCTCAGATCAAACTAGAGGAAGCTTTCTCTATTTTATATCAAGTCCTAAAAATTCTATCTCAGGGAGCTAGTTTACAGCTACTCTACACATCATCTCCAAAATACCAAACTTATATATCCAGAAAATGTAGATCCAACATTTATGTTTACCTTGGCCTATATGCCTTATTTTCGCCACTGTAAAAGATTATAATGACGAATTTACAACAGTAGAGCCTGATGATAAAATTATCTCAAGTATTCTTCATTTTTAAAACAAAATATATATTGAAATGAACAACAGGTTTTGAATATTTAACCATCAGGGCAATATCTCTACATTGATTGGTTGAAATCTGTTCCCTGTTAGAGTTTTGTAAAACATATTACTATAAAGTGCAGAAAACCAAATTGATATCATCATTTACACATGATTTATCAATAGTCTCTTATAAATTTTATCTCTCTTTTATTCCTGTTCTCTTCAATTCGATCTTCACAACTGTCTGTTACCAGGTATTCCATATCTGATTGATATTACATACTACTTATATTCGTCGATATAAGTAGCATATACCACAATACTAAACTAATGATATTAGTGTTATCTTACAATTAACAGACAAAAAAAACAGAATGATTTTAATCAGCTTTAATTGTATAATTTAGAAGAAACAAAAACTGATTACTGATATTGGTGTTTTCAAGTAGTGATGTTTAAACTAGATAAACTACCAAATTAAAGGTATAAAACCATTTAATGGCTCATGAAAACACTCTTTTTTCTACCGCTACATTATCTTGTTTTTTTTTTTCAATTTTGTATCCCTAATTTATTTTCAAATCTTTTTTGGCGCCAGTTTAAAAGATGTTTATTATTGAATAATAATCGAATTAAAATAACTTTATTGAAACATTGAAATTTTTAATAGAAATCAAAGATATTCAAATAACTGGTGATGGTGATGATGATGACGATGATGATGTAATAATATAGATAAGTGATATAATCTAAGTAGTAGTAGTTGTTGTAGTAGTAATAGTAGTAATATAAGTAGTATAATCTAATGATTATCTCTTTTTTTGTAATTATATCTCTATGTAAATGTTTATTATTATTATTATTATTGTTATTTTGTTTTCGTCTAGGGTTTAATCAATTATTTAAGGGATTAACTAATAACCAGGATAATTGTATATTAGTACAAAATTTCCATTTTATTAGTATATTAATGATAAAATAGAATGACATGATGAACTGTAAAAGAATTAAAATAAGGATAGAGATAAATTGTTGTAATCTCATCATAGTTTCAGAAGATAAATGTAAAAAGTCGAAGGTTTTTGTTCTGGAAGGAAAACTAATAGTTAAACACAAGCCGAATACGAAATCAGAGATCATAATTGATTGATCACTATGTGATGATCAATGTCCTATGTGTCAAGTCCTTCTTAGTGGTCCTTTTTACTCTTGTTGAATACCTCCAACCACCATCTAATCACAACATAGTGCACGAAATGTCAAATCGCTTAGACTAGTGGCCACATTGCAACTTGGTTGATAGCATTCGATCTGCACTAAGAAGGACACGACATACATGACATTGATCACCACCCAGTAATCAATCAATTTTTGATTACATCTCATTCCTACAGGATGTCGGTCACGGCCCGGATAGCTCAGTGTTAACGTCACTGATTGTGAAGCTGGGTGATACGGGATCGAATCCGTTAGAGATCATTAGTTCCCTCAAGATTACAGGTACACCTTGCTGATGAGTGCCAAGTAGTATGAAACCCGGATCCAGGCTTTCCTATTGACTACCTCCAACCATCATCTAACGAAATCAGAAATATTAGACAAATGTATACCACTGGGTTAAGTTTCTGAGGAAACATGTATATTGTAGTGCTTGAAAATCTGGTTCGCGTTTGTATTTCTGCTCATATTCGTTCGTCTTTTTTGTGTGTGTATTTGTGGCTTTTTGTTAAGAATGTGAATGTTTAACTACTAGATTCAACTGTTTTAATGTGTAACTTCAATCAATCCACGACATTGTGTGATCATCTTTGATTATCATCCATGAGCAACTTCCACATACCCGACATGATTTAGCTCTGGAAAATTCTTATTGAAGCTAATCACTAGTGAACATATGATAATTATCAGTATAAGTTTGTGGAGATTTTCGAATTTAATTGAAAACCTCAACAGATTTTATTTAGACTACGATGGGAAAACTGGGAGCACTGATTTGATGGTTTGATTAACCTACCGTCATTTGCTATTGATCTTATCTTTTGTTTCGTAACCTATTTATTAGTGTCAAGTCATAACTAGAACACATTAGTTAACTTTTAATTAATTTAATCATAACCATTACGTTGACAATATGATCATCAATTCTCTTATCATAATCACAATCCAGATACTGATGATAAAACATCATGTTATCTAGTTTGCTTTAATAGTTCTCTCTTTGAAGAATGTTGCCATCATAGTAATTCCCTAATTCATATTTCCGTAATAAAACTTATTGTTACTTGATTAGTTATTATATTGTTTACCATATCAGCACTGTTATATCATTCAAGGTTCATCTATTGCTTCCAGGTTTATAATAAGGTTCCAATCATGATCAGCTATGAAAAAGTTCCATCTTCCCTGTCTCTATTAGAATGTGGTGAAAGTCTAGTCTCGTAGGCTTTTTGTTCTTTGTGTCGAATTAAAAGAAGTTTCAATCGTTTAGAAATATATTTTACTGAAGAGCATCCGGAAACCTTAATCGCTATAACACATGATACAACACAAACATACATGTTTGTACTTTTACCAGCCTTATTGCTAACATTATATAAATTGTCTATATATTCAACATATGGACTATTAAATGCTGGCTCAGTGGTCTAAAGGTTAAGCATTGGCCTCTATTTTTTGTAGTAGGTTAGTGGATTGATACATTACTGTGGAGTTTCATTATAGAACAAAACAACTGTCCAATGATTTCAACTTTTCGGTTGTTTTGTAACTTAAATCAGGTTAGAAGGAAGTTATGTTCTGGAACATTAGGATTAGGGATATTTTTGGTTGGTTGCCTGTCGTTGATCAAAGTGAAGTTTGAAGGCAAAATAAGCTTTAAACGTAGGCGTCATTAGTGACGTCTATAATCAAATGACCTGATCACGCAATTCCATAAATATTAACGACTCCAAATTCACAACAGAAACTGGTGTTGTATTGTTGATTGCTTATGATTGATTGAATTCTATCAATTACTTGTGTGATGTGATTATGAATCTAATCGCATTGATAATGTAAAGGACAGATATATGTCGACAGAAAACATTGGATATCAGTTTTGTATAGTTTAACATCCATCAAAGAGCTGAGTCTCTATTCGTAAGAGAACTAATAGTTTACTAGGAGATCAAACAACATTTAACCTGATATTACTAATCAATTAATTCTTCTAATTGGTTTATCCTTTCAGACGTTCTCTCTCGCTAAATTAGTTTCGTTGTAATTTTTTGGACCACTACTCCTGAATTTCCTGGTACGTCGAGGGTGGGGGGAGTCAGCTCTTCCTCTCCAAATGCTCTCACATGTCCACGCGTATACAGTCATTGTCCGAGAAATCCTGCTCATTGCAATCTCGAAACAAGGGTGTTGTTCACGAAAGTGAGAGGACGAAAAGCGAATATTTGGCGCTTTAACCGGGTTGGTGGATATGTAGGGTTCACCTAGGGAAGTTGGAAAAACCTGATTCCAAACGAATGGTGCACACGGACTCCCGTATTCTGAGGGAATAAATGTCGTATGAACATATTGTTGGTCACCGACTACCATGTGACTGCATCTCCTGACGTTGTTCCCCTGCCTTATGGATCAGACCTTTATATCGAAGGCCCCGGTTGCGGCCCTCTAAGGAAACCACTTACTTCGGTCTGGGCACCCACACATAAATCAAGTGAGTTCTGTGGCGCGTATGTAATCAGTGCCCCTTTGTACCAATACTTGTGTTCAAATAAATAAATAAACAAGTAAATTTGAACTACTTCACTAGGTTTGCCAGGTCTGAATTCCTGTAAAAGTATAAAATGTGTCAACGTATTGAATAAACCTTGTCAAATCGTACAAAGTGAAATGAAACCGTTTGTACAAAGTTTACTGCTTCATAAACTAAGAGATTAGCATATTACTTTGGTAGATAATACTTCGGTATACTAACACTATGTAAACTATAGCATTATTCGCCATTTATATATCACTTCAATTCTGTAAATCCATTATAATCAGTGAGAGGTTTTATGGAAATTATAGTAATTTAATAATTGAATTCATAAGCCAATTGAAGCTAGACCACCATGAAAAAATTTGGAAGCACTAAATGGCCGTTTCATCTTAGTATGGGACTCTTCAGCAGTGAGCATCCACAACCCCACCTCACAGGATTCGAACCCAGGACCTATCGTTATAAATAACACATTAATGCTTTTCTAATAATGACACGTATGACATATATGTATCTATGCGTATTTTATTTCATAAAAATGTTTACAATTCTCATTCATTAACCTTGTTTTACATTGAGATATAATGTATGTATTTGATTTGTAATCATATCTTTCATTTTTTTTAAAAAATTGAGTGAACAACTGTTACTTGGCAACATAAACACACACGCACACACACACACACGAACATACATGTCTACATTTTCTGTAAATATTGTTCGTTTATTTATCGATATCGAATTCCACCGGTTATATAAGGTGGAACACGTTTACTCCAACGAAATCTATCTTTATAATTGAAATGTGTTGCACGATCTTTATTCATTGATGGTGAATAGCGTCCAGGTATTTCTGGATATTCATCCTCGAAGTCAAATGCACGAAACGTGGGCGGCTTCATTTGAAAAAAGAAAGTAAAGAGATGATAAAACAATTTGTGAGTAGATCGTTTATCATTGGAAATATAAAGTTTTTCTAATTATCAAAGTTGTAATAATGGCTGAAAGTGAAATTCAGGATGCATGTTTTGTCCTATGTTGAACTCATCGGCTGAATATATACAAGTGTTAAATTTCAACTAGGATTAGAACCCAGTATCCTTCATTTTAAACTTCCATAGCATTATCCACTAACGTGCTAATTATGGATAGCCATTAGCTTGTGAAATGAGTTTGTATTTTATTTGTATGTACTGGTATTTTTTCGTCGTTGATATTATAGATTGCAGTTGCTAAGCCTTTGTTAGCTTACAAACTTCTTGTATGGATTATTTCAATATTGTCAATTAGTCACAAGTTTCCATTAAAGTTCGAATAGCGGCGAGTAATGAAAACCAGTAGATGCATCTGGACTAATCAGTCGTAATACATAAAGTCAACAAGGAAAGTATATCACTACTTATAAAGGTAATTTTTATGGTCGTAACTTCATAGTGATATTCACGAATAATTTTTATATGACTGAAATACGAATATTAAAACTCAAAATTGAAGACAAATGCAAAATCAATGATAATCGAATCATTCATAGGTTCGAATCCCGCATATGAGATCGTGAATGTGAGTTCGATACTAAAAAGAAATGACCGTCCAATGACTCTAAGTTTTCAATGATCGTTTAGTATTGATTGAGTTATGATCTCAATCATTTTATAATCAGCCTGTATGGGAAACTAAAGTATCTCTTTCATATAACATAGTTCTAATGTATTCAGTACTTATCTTAGATACGTTATAAAAACAGATTATTATCAATGAATGATACAATATCTATTATTATTGATTATACAAATAAAGACTAAAGAATATATGTATTGCAGTGTGATGAGTTATCAAACTTTGTATAAGTATCTAATGTATTCATAGCGCTTATTTCAAATATTAACCATAGTACATACTGAAAGCTTTTATAAATCGTATTCATCTAACAGAATATTATTGAACCTTATTGAAGAGCAGACATAACAGACATACATAGCCATGGATACAACGAAGATCGTTTCAAGTTGTCAATAATGATAATGATGTAACATATCATAATCAATTCAGTAAAAAGGATCCAAATATTCAACATAATCAAACAACTAAAAGATAACTTGAATGTAACACTCATGTTTAGTTAATATAATACTTTGAAATAATAATTTTTAATATTCTAGTGAAAATTAAAAGAAAATAAAAAGAAAAAAGAGAAAAAAAAGAGAAAAACATTTTGTTGTTTAAAAATGAATCTTTTGTTTCAATGTTTGAATGATTTGAATGAACACTTGAATACATATTAATAAATTTTTTTTGTTTTTTTTTCGGAGGGGGGTGAAGGGGGGGGTGTAAAGGATATTATATCTATGATGAATGGTGTTTGTGTTGTGTTTATTTTTTGTTTTTTTTTCATAAAAAATTTAATGAAATTGTAAAATAATCGTTTTTTTAAAAAAAATATTTTCTCATTCAATCAATAAAATGAAATCCGGTCTAAATTGTTATATTGATTCATTGAAGGGGGCGGGGTGGAGGAGGTTTCTTTCCTTACAAGTATGAAACTGTTGCTGTGTTTTTTATTTGTGAATAATTCTATTATAAATTATATATTCAATTCTATTTTTGTATATATGAACAAAGGAAAAGAATTTAATGTGAAAGATAGGATGAAGGTATTTTTTTTCCTTTTTTTTTTCATGTTTTTTTTCCAAAATGATGGTTAGTATTCAGTGAAGGATAAAAATGAAGTGAATAACTTGAATGAAGAAACATCTTTATGTTACTATTTCAATGAATAATAATTCAATATTATTTCCGTTATAGTTTAAGATGATCCAAGTTGAAATAGTGATTTACATAGTATAGAATATAGATACTTAACTAAGCTACTTGATTGAAAAAAACTAAAAGTGAATAAGAAGCTTTTATCGACTCACTGAATGGAAAATATGTATACAACTCACTCATATATATATATATATATATATATATATATATATATATATATATATATGTCTACCTTAGAAAATCGATTCAAATTATCAAAGAATAGAATCTATCTATGTTTTCATAAGGTTATGCCGAATTTTGACTAATAACCAGTATCTCTCAATTAACATTTACCCTTTGAGCTGGTTTGTCTGATTGACCTAGCGTATCATATTAATGATTATATCCATTATGAGTTTCTAAAGGTTCACTATGAAGAATGAACTAATGTTTAGATTATATAAGGTATATAATACATTCGGTATTGGATTAATGCTATGAAAGTATTATGAACATATATAAGCTTAATCTAGAATCAAATTGTAAGTAATGCTAATATTTAAAAGCCAATAAGAAATAATAGTCTACTGGTAATTGAAATGGAAATGTGTTCTATGTGAACTGATAAGTATGATTTACTGGCCTGTAGGGATAGTTATCATTTTAAATTCAAAATGGTTCATATGATTTAGGGAATGTAAATTTCTATGGAATCTCAAAATTAGAAAGGAATAGTTATTCCACAGTTTCTTGTTTTTAGTAATTTACTAAAATAATGTCTGTTTGTAACATCTCCAACATGAGATTATACGTTAGTCAGACTACATATACAACAATGTCTTTGATAAAAAGCTTCAAGTATAGTAATCATTATAGAATTTAGATTGATATTATCGATAGGTCAACGTTAGATCATCACTTGAAATCTGGACACACTAGAAGGTCGTTTCGTTTTAACATGGGACTCAAGGTTTTCGGTCCTACTGGATGCCGACACAGTGATTTAGAGGTTAATCGTCCACGTGTGAGACCGAGGATCCTGTATCCGAGTCCTGTGAGCAGAATCATAGATGCTCATTGCTGAGAAGTGCCAGAATAGAACGAAACGGCTGACTGGTACCTTCAGGTTTTCAATATCTGTCTAACATTGATCCATACATCATTATTATTCTCAACTCGGCAATCACCATTATCCTATACTACTTATAGAATTTCTTTAGATTAAACATTTAATTGTTTTTAAGTATATTTGACTATATAATAAACAAAAGAAAAACTATAACCACTAATCTACATTGTTATTTGTCAAGAATTTAACCATTTTGTTTATTACGAAATATTTCTGTTACCATGGTAATGAATTATCTTTTAAGAAATAAACAATTATACCTATCTAATATGACAATCTTTGTTTTGAATCCTAGTCTTGTTTATCATTGACCTAGATTAACTATTCAATTGAATCAAATACATATGATGATTAAATTTTTAATGAATTACATTAAAAATTTATATACCATAAACAAGAACGAGACAAATTTAAGTGTATATCACATGATAGTAACAATTTTTGTCAGAAGAAAACATTCAACTACTCGTAAGTAGATAAATTATGATGAAATAAAAAAATATATATGGTGTAAATCAGGAGATGGTGGTGGGGGTGGTATTAAACTTACATATTGACTTTTCACAGGACTATACCAACAGAAGTTAACTAGAAGTTGAGAAAAAAAGAAAAAATTAAAAAAACTATGTAAATAGAATAGAAATTATGATAAATTAAATAAGGAAACGGAGAGACTATAATTTATGAACGAACCAATCAGGTAGAAGATTGTAAGTCTCAGATTTTTGGCGTGAAATTCACTCATTCATTTAGTCATATAACGTTTTGGCATTTTAACTGATGTGAGTTCGTAACGAAAACTCTCAAATCTTATTCCTAACCTTAACCATCAACTAAAAATCAGAATTCCAATTCCCCCATAATGTTTCATAATCTTTAATTAGTCTCCTAGTTGGTAGGTGGATAGTCTCATGGTCACTTCAGCGTTGCTCAAAGGGTCGTCCATTAATTATAACCTCATCACTGAGGAAACTTTTGAAAAAATGTGATTAATAATCAGATTTAGATCTATTGAACAGATGGTAATTTACTAGAGAAATTTTGTGTACAAATGAACGTATTCGTCATTTATATCCGGAATGAATATTTACTAAATGATAGTCTAAGTTTAACATGGTAACAGTTTTGTAATGCAAATTTACCTTTACATTTCCTTTTGCTTTTGTTTAAAAATAAAAGGAAATGTAATTCATCTAGTGTAATTTGCATTTTAAGTCAAATAAATAGAAACACATATGTCTATATGTTGTGTATTATGTATTGAATATTGGACTAGAATGAATATCAATTCATCAACGATGCTGTATTGGTTGATCTTATGTCGAACCTACATAACTTATTCTAACTTCTGGATAGACCAATTTATCTATTCTATCTGAGTCACATTTTGATTTAGGTAATTATCCATTTACCAACCTTGACTATTTTGTATATAAGCACTTCTTATCCTATTCATCACATGTTTGTAACATATTTTTATGTGACTATAAATAACAATTCAGGCTTGCTTAAATCCAGTTGGTTCATACACTTTTTCTACTGCACGCCCTTTCACTCCTTCAATCTGTTTCGGTTTTCCATTATTGCTTCATCTCCGTGATTGCCTGTTCAAATGCAATATCTGAATGAAATATACATATTCAAAATCTATTCTCGTATTTGACTTATTTAATTCCGTTATTCACTGATGCATGTTAAGTCGATATTCATAGACGAGGATCGACGATATGGATAAGACGATAATGATCAACATACAATCCAACTAGAGTCAGCTTAAGTATCAATAAAATGCCATTGTACATGTATATTTATAAATAATTATGTTTTTCTAAACTAAGATTAACCTATAGAGATGAGAAAAATCACTGATATTATTGATCATTTGTGAGACTATTGTGCTAATATTCCGTTCTAACTCGCTCACTATGACTGATCAAACGTCTAGACATTCACTTTGTTTATTTGAACTGTTACTATTAATGTTACATATTTATTTAGATGACAAAGTGGAATCATTCATATTCTAAAGTTAACTAAAATGGAGCACGATTTGCATGGAGGACACCTCACAAACTTGTTTGAAGTAAAGGCCGGTGTCAGAAAAGGTTGCTTACTCTCACCGCTTCCCTTACTCCTGGTTATCGACTGGATTATGAGGACGTCAACATCTGAGAGGAAATACGGGACGATCCGTCTCCAAATGCTCTGACATGGCCATGCGTATACAGCCATTGTCTGAGAAGTCGTACTCACTGCCTTCTCAAAACAAGGGTTGTGTTGAGTGAACCAGAAGAGAATATTCGGCTCTTTAGCTGGGTCGCAGGATATGGAGGATCCATCTGAAGAGGTTGGAAAATGCTGGTTTCCAACTCAATGGTGCACATGGACTTCAGGATCCTGAGAGAATAAATGGCGTATGAACCTATTGTCGGTCACCGGCTACCATATGACTGCATCTTCTTGGTTTGCTTCACTGCCTTGTGGAGTAGACCTCTAGATCGAAGGCTCCGGGTGTGGTCCGCCGAAAGAACCACCTATTTCGGTCTAGGAATCCGGGCAGTCTTGCAGCCCACACAAAAATTGAGTTGTGTGGCGCAAATGTATTTGGTGTCCCTTTGTGGCAATATTTATGTGCTCAAATAAATGAAATGAAATAAATGTTCAATAGAATATATTTCCCTAATAAACATTCATTATGTACCATTCATTATAGTAATAGTAATAATAATAAGTACTATTATTTATAATGTATTTATAACTTTATTGTTTTCTACGAGTTACTTATTATTTGTTGTTCATAACTTTGAATTTATGTAAGTATAAGGAGTTTGTGTAGATCTTAACACTGACCAATAGAATGTAATCAATTTGAGTGCAAGGTAACCGTTATTCATCAATATTACTGAAAGATAGCTTTGCCAACTAAGTGAAGTTCTAAGTGTTAACCAATAAATAACAAATCATTGATTATAATGTAACTCACTTGATACAACTCTTAAAGATCTTAAGATCAATCACTAAATCAATCATACTGAGGAGCCTTACACTAAGACAAAATAATTGTCCAGTGTTTTATAGTTTCTAACGGTTATCTATGATATCGGCAGATATAAGTAGCATATATTATCAATCGAAAGTAGAATACCTGGCAGCATAAGGTTAACAAGATCAAAGTGAAGAGAATGAAAACAGAGAATGATTACTATGGAAACGAAAGAACAATGAGGTCGGAGACAGTTGACTATCATTTTGCAAATGAAATATTTACTGTATGGTTCTCAGTTTTTATTAAGTTATTCTGTAATTTCACGTTTAGGTACATTCGATTATCCCCACTTATGTTCTCATTGTTTATATAAATTACATCCAACTTATGTATAAGATAAAATCTCAAAGAAAACGGGTCACATCAATCTTTTTTTTAAAAAACTTGTTATATCCCGATAAGTATAATGAATGGTCATTCTTGTGATCCATTTATGGACCAATACTAAACGTATATTTTTATCGTATTATTGTTATGTAACTAAACTGTTCATATTCATGTTTCGCTTATTATGAGTTTTATTTTGACTTATGACCAGTTATTATACGATTTACCATTCTTGAACTATTCCCTGTCTGTTTTATCACTACCTCCTTGATTCACAGTTACTTTTGGCCAAATATTGTACAAATGTTATTTTCTATTTTATGGTATGTTGTGGTCTGTTTGATTGGCATATAAACCCCATATGTTTGGAATAAATGATTCATATTGCAGAGGCTGAGATTGGACTCAAATAGCTGGGCTAGGTGGAAAGCAGGGTTAATCAAGACTCTAGGCTGCTCGTACGGGTTTTATGCATCATTGATCCGATCAATAATTCATTGCCCTCTACTCGGCGGTTACAATGTTCATCAATATCTATTAATGATCTTACAATCTTCATGAGTTTCATAGAATAGTTCATATCGTTTTTGATAAAGTTATTTCATCAAAATCATCCAGTTGAGCTATAAATCTTCTTCATTAGTTCAAACCGTATTTTTAGAATGTTTCCATTGATTGTAATCACTAAAAGTTTAAGCAAATTAATTGGGTTTATTTTGATAGCGTAAATAATTCTTTAAGGTGACGGTTTATTTGTTACCCAGGAAATTGTCAAAATAAGTCAAGTTTTCTCTTTGGATTATTTTGTATCAACAATTTAGCATTTACAGGTCACTAGTTTTAATCATAAAACAAAACATACCAATCTAAAGGTACGTTTTTGAGTTCTGAACAGACACATTTATTTGAATGGATTATGGAAAGTACTTCAGTAATCAAGAGAAATTTCATTAAGAATTCACTGTAACTATGGAACCATTCAAAATTAAGAAGCTCTGAATGACAAAGTTGTGAGGTTTTTTTATTAGTTAAAAAAGAGATACCACGACAAGTCCACCTGTAGCTCTTTTTGAGTTACTGTTGGTCCGAAACCCGAAGCGTGAAGTCGGCAACTCTATCCCGTAGAAAAACATCTTGCTAAAAATCACCAACTAGATTAAACAAATTAAAAAATTTAAACTCCGCTATGAGAGTTGAAGGAAGAATTATTATGCCTCAGGATGAAAGCTGAAATTCTTCGGAAATCACGAGGTCAATGCCCCTTTTAGCAACCAAAACAACAATCTTTATAGGTATATGGAACGTCAAGATAGTTATACTATAAGGAGCTGGAACTTGGAGAACTAACACAGCCATCATCAAGAAGGTATATGTATTTATAAACAATCGTCTACGCAAGATAGTCAATATCCGTTGGCCGGATACCATCAGCAACAGTCTCTTGTGGGAGAGAACAAATCAGCTGCCAGTTAAGGAGAAAATTAGGAAAAGATAATGAAAGTGAATAGGACATATATTATGAAAATCACCAAATTGCATCACGAGGCATACACTAACTTTAAGTCTGAAGGGAAACAGTAAAGAGAAATGCCGAAGAACACACTGTATCAGGAAATGGAAGCAGACATAAAAAGGATGAATAGCAAATGGAAAGAACTGGTAAGGATTGTTCAGAACAGAGATGGATGGAGAATACTGGTGGGTGGCCTATACTCCTCGATGTGATGTAACAGGCTTAGGTAAGCAATTAAGTAAATAAATAAGTAAGACACCACGATGCCACCAGAGGTTGGAACTTAGATTTCCAGACGTTTTGAGTTGGGTGGATTAGGATGATCCATACTTAAAACTTGTCATTCAATCTCATCAGTGATGATGGTATCATTCCTGAGTTGCACGAAGTATCTGTTTTAATAAATTGAAAAATTCCTTAATTGAACGTAATGAGCTTTAGGAAATCGTAATGAGTAGCTCGATAATTGTCTCAAGCATTCAAGAATATAAATACCTCAGTCACATTAATACGAACTGAGGAAATAACCAGGTTCAAGTGAAACACACAATAGACCCATTGAGTTGCTACCTTAATGAAAATGCCCAATGACCTATTGAAGATATCGCTAACACAGTTTTAGAAAAAAGCTAAACTTATTTTATATAAATGTATAGTGATTTAATAATTGAGTTCATGAGTCAATTGAAGCTAGATCACCAT